GGGAGGGTACTAATATCCTAGTCTCTTGGGGCTTCGTACCACTCGTCCTCCTTTCGTAACGTATTGGGCTGTAACAGTCCCTGAATATATACCAAACAATTATGTAAGACATTGCTATCACAACATCAGGTTGCTTCTTATGCCATCAAATTTCTTTATTTAAAAAAAAACAATGAGAAATATAAATATCTAATGAGATGAAAGATATCAAATAAGATGCAGTATAATTTCTTGGCTTTCACCTACATCATGAAAAATTTTCCAAAGACTTATATGCGACAAGACCTCCACAGACCAAAAGACCAACTAAAACTATGATATCTCAGCCAAAATGCTAGCTAAAAGTTTTAGATACAGAGATAAAAGTGAATGATTATATCTATAATTTAGTTGACATGTATGGGTCCACCATCTTTGTGTCCTATTTGAGGGGCAAAAAGATGGCAGCCAAATCATGATATTTGAAAATCATGTTTCTATTGTATTCTATGTTTCTAATGATAATAATCATGTAAATAAAGTCATTATATAGATATCGATGAAATACCAGGTTTTCTCTAGTGTCAAAAACTTGATATCTTTCAGCAGTGCAAGATACCATATCTTTCACACATGAAGATATCGCTGTTGACATAGTAACATATTTTAATAAAGGTTTTTGAGCTTTTGTTTTATCTAAGTTTCATCAATATCTATATAATAAACAGAACATTACATCGGGATGGCGCGAACGAGTGAGATATCTAAATTGAACACGAGAAGATAAAATTGGTATCTCTGCACGCCCATGTAATATCCCCTATTTAACAATCATCTACAAAATAAAAACGTATTGTTTTGATCAAGTTTCCCTATTTCTAATGCTTTGAAAATGTGTGGCAATGATTGCGTTACATAATTTGACTGGTATGTAAAACCAAACATCGAAAATACAAAATTATTTTAGTAAAGCTTTTCTTATAACGGTGTAAACAAAATATTTGACAAAACGTTTTGTGGAGTAATTACTTTGGATTTAAGTTTTTCATGATGTCATGTGAAAGCCAAGAGTAACAGAGAATAACAATTGAGCGATATATTTAACAAATATAGTACAGCTTTTTCCATGCTCCGTTCATTGATAAAGTATGGAGGTAGTAATGTAAGCATGAAAGAAGTGTAAGGAGAAGCACAAGCTGTAGGTGAGTGCTTCTGACACTTCTTGAGTGCTTAGGGCGCTTCACTCTTCCTAAGTGCTTTATTACTGGATGGACCATGGCCTGATGGAGACTAGCATTTTGCAGTCGTTATCATCATCATCATCATCATTATCATTATCATTGTTATTATCATTATCATCATTATCATTATCATTATTGTTATTCCTTTATTGCACAGCAAAATAGGAATATGACAAATTGTTTGCTGGTATACATTAACCTTCAGCTCGAGATTCTACATAGCTTCAGAGAGCTGAAGTACTCTTGTTATGATATGTGCTGTGCCTAAAAGTACAGATGTCTATAGGTCTAACAAGCTAATACTATCAAGTTCTAGTCTCTGAACATGATTCTTAAATCGTTTTGATATTGTTCCAAGCTCAGTTCATTGATAAAGTTATGCAGAAAGTAGCGTAAGCATGAAAGAAGTGTAAGGAGAAGCACAAGCTGTAGGTGAGTGCTTCTGACACTTCTTGAGTGCTTACGGCGCTTCACTCTTCCTAAGTGCTTTATTACTGATGAAGACTAGCAGTTTGCAGTGGAAATGTCGCGGTCCTCTACAAATGACCCTCAATCGTGAGACAGATGAATCATTATTATTATTATCATCATCATCATCATCATCATTATTATCATTATTATTATTATCATTATCATCATTATCATCATTATTATCATTATCTTTATCATTATTATCATTATTCCTTTATTGCACAGCAAAATACAAATATGACAACTTGTTTGCTGGTATACATTAACCTTCAGCTGAGATTCTACACGGCTTCAGAGAGCTGAAGTACTCTTGTTATGATATGTGCTGTGCCTAAAAGTACAGATGTCTATAGGTCTAACAAGCTAATACTATCAAGTTCTAGTCTCTGAACATGGTCCTTAAATCGTTTTGATATTGTTCCAAGTGATCCAACGACTATCGGAACTGCCATGGTCGTCATCCTCCACGGTCTTTCTATCACTATTCAGAGGTCTCTTGGTACTTGTCAATCTTTCTCATTTCCTTTCCTATGGTGCATAGGCACCGAAATGTCAATCAGTTTCGCCTTCTTGCTCTTATCTACGACTATGATGTGCGGTCTTCTTCAGTGCTTCAATCTTCTTCAATACTAGAATTCTACTATCTATCCTAGATAATTTAGATAAAAAGCAGTTCTCCGTTAAAGGAAAGTCACTAACCGAGAGTGGGTATTTAGCGTGGAATACCATGGTTTGAAAAGCTGAATACCACGATATATATAGGGATCCCGCGAGTTGTTGTTGTTCCCGCATTCACCTCAAAATACAAAGATTTTAGCCTTTTAGATTTTTACCATCACAGAGTAGTTTATAGAATACAAAGAGCGCCAAACCAAGAACCGCCAAGGAGACGAGAATAGCAGGAAAAGAACAAGAAAGTACAACAATAAAATCTGGAGTACCAATGGCGGCGAATGCGATCCATATCGTGCTTTTGTTGAGTACTTGGAACATCGACCAAAAGGTGAAAGAGTCCAAAAAAATCTGTTCTTAAGTCCAATTGACAAGCCAACACCTGAAGTGTGGTATAAAATGTCACCTGTTGGAATAAACACCTTGTCTAGGATGATGAAGACGATTGCTGACATAGCTTCCCTAGAAGGCAAATGTACGATTTCGTGTGGCCGTAAAACAGCAATCCAAGCCTTGCGAGAAGATTTCAACCCACTTGAAATTTCAGAATTGACTGGCCATGCCAATCCAGAATCGATATCGACTTACAGCCATAGCCCATTGAAAAACAACGCAAAATATCCCACAAGCTGGCTGGATTTTCTCCTCGCAGTCAAGGTAGTAGTACGGTCAGTACGTCAGTAGTTGAAAGTTCAAGATCACCAGCAAGAAATACTTTGAATGAAATATCTGTCAATGTAGAAGGTCATCAGGCGAACCAAACAAGTAAGGCTGCCGAAGCCCCTTATAATGTTCTTGGGTTGAGTGGAGCCGTAAGTGGACTGTTTACCGGAGTCACATTTAACAACTCACCGGTGAATATTTCCATCAATCTACAGTCTGGTGACCATCGCTAGCTCTTTCTTCATCCAACACTAACTGAGCTACACAACAGTAAAAAAAGAAGAAGAAGAAGAAAAAGAAATTTACTTATTTTGATTTCATTTATTCTATTTAGTCTATTTAGTAATTGAATGTGTAATTCAGAGAAAAGTCTTAGCTTAAAAGTTTTGTGTACTCACCAGTTAGCTTCTTTGACATTTTCGCACATTTAGACTGCTGAACTGCCTTAGATTTCGATCAAGACGAGAAAAAGTCATTATTGTTTTAACAGATTGAACGAAGTATTGCAGCGAAGGCGATTTTTGAGAATAAACAGTTAGTTTTTCCCACAGTAGAAAATATTATTCTGCTCGCCACGAGGTTCAAACCCTCACCTTTGAGCGGAATTCCTATTGGTTGGGAAGATGGCATCAGAATGGTTTCCTTCGTGGGCCAAGGTTTTCTTGAACTCCCACGATTTTTTTCTTTTTTTCTTCTTTATATTCGCTTAGATTGAATAGTGTCATGGGATTCAAGGAAAATTCATTGGCTTGACTCAGGAATTCCAAGTTGAATTCACGAGAAAACGCGATATCGCACGAGTCGCGAAGTCAGCCAATGAATTTTCCTATAATATTGCTTCTTTTTTAGCACGACTTTAAAATTGAAAATAGTAAGATTATTGAAGTTGCTTTTAAATTTCTAAAACTGTACCCAATTAAGTAACAAAAAACAAAAACGAATAAAGAAACAACTAGAAAATTTCAGCTTGTATAAAATAAACAAATATAACTTCATGGGGAGGGCACTTGTACGGCATTCGCACTCGTTGGTTTGTATCAGAAATCGAACGAGTGAGCGCAGCCAACTCGTTCGATTTCTGATACGTCACCAACTCCGGCGTGCGAATATACCGTAAGCGCCCCCCCCCCCCCCCCCCCCCCCCCCCCCCATGAAGTAGTCTATATATTCAAACAAGAGAATATTAAGTATTACTTCATATTCTCTTGATTCAAAACAACTATTAGTCAAAGGGATCTCACTCGGTAACATCACCAAGTGTTTGAAGCCAATTTAGTTAATTTGAACAGCAATAAATTGGCGCGTTTAACCACCCTAATCATGCAGTTATTCATTTGTTGATCCTTTTGGTCTTGCAAACGCTATCGTTGCATTTTTTGCTTAAAATATTGATAAAGAAAACTTCTACTCAAGCACACTTTAACATCCTCGAGGCGCAAATATGGCTTTTTGGCGGCAAAAGAACATATCATTTGTAGTCCGAAAACAAGGGAAATTAATAGAGACTGAGGGGACACCAGGGAGAAACGTTTGCGCATGCGTGCACTTCAGCCATGCTTTCTGAGAATTTTGAGGAGTTTGAGTGAGAAAATAAATGTTTGTTTTCTCCAAGTATACAAAAAAGTCCGAGAGTATACTTTGGTAAGACCAAGATACTGTATCAACAAACACAATATGAAAGAATTAGTCTTAAGTTTCAAGCATGGACACTAAGTTTTGGCATTTTGTGAAGTTCAATAGACCTAGTATCCCGAATTCGCTTGACTGACCATGAAACAATGGTTAAAAAGTCGAGACTAAACTTGATTCTTTTATTCATCAAGTTCAACCTCGACTTGAAACCATTGTTTCGTGGTCAGTCAAGCGAATTCGGGATAGGTCTATTTATAAGGCATGTTTGAAAGTCAAATTTACTTATGTTTTGACTAATTTGCATACTGATTCAGAGCATGCGCAGACGTTTTTCACTCGTGTCGAATGAGGGAGCATGTAACATCAACTTGTTCATTTGACGTCACAGCCCAGTCTCTTAGACCATCACTTCACTTGGCCGAAAGTTGAAAAAATGGTCGATTTTCCATGTAATGTCGCGCGAAAAAAATGGAAAAAAGCGTCAGAATTAAAAAGTTCTTTCAACATGGATGTTAGAATGACTTTTATTTTGATAGAGCCGAAGCTTTTTTAAAGGGGAAGGACAGGTAATTATGTATTTTGATTCTTAGACTGTAAACTTGCTTTTCATTGTCAGAACGTGGACTCTCTGTGGAACACCAGAATACCTTGCACCTGAAATTATCCAAAGTAAAGGTCACAATAAAGCTGTAGACTGGTGGGCATTAGGAATTCTTATTTATGAAATGCTTGTAGGGTAAGTAAGGTATCCATATGCCCTTAAAAAATGATGTTGTTGATTATGCTGACAAGAACCATTATAAGTGAAGTACTGTGATGATGATGATGATAATGTTGTTGATAATGATAATGACATTGATTGTAGTTGCAGTGATTTCATAAACCAAAGCCACCCGGGCCAAACAAATTTAAAATCAAATTCACAAATCACATTTTTGACGCCGAATAGTAGATGAATTGATGAATTCTGGGTTTTAAACTGTTTCTTGTTCACTCCTGTTTATACACACACTCGTATAAAGTATAACATATGCTTTTAAAAGAAAACATATATACATGTGTACAGATTCTATTGTTTAAATACTCGATTGTGATCGGCTAATTTGTATAAAAAATTGTCTGGGTGGCCTTGGTTGGCGTAGTTACACTGTAAGTGTTGTGATAATGATATAGTATTTAACGATGCTTCTTTAACTAAAATTGAATACTTAACCTTTTATTGTCCTGTTCATGTAATTTTTCTGCTTGCAGTTATCCTCCTTTTTTTGATGATAATCCATTTGGTATTTATGAAAAGATCCTTTCTGGTAAAGTTGAGTGGCCCAAACACATGGAAAACACTGCAGCCAGGTAAGTTGATAAATATTCTATATATTATAGTCAAGCATCATGAAAGGGATATCTGTAAAAAATGGTAAAAATGTTTCCAATATAACCTCTTTGGTGAACTATTTTCAAAAACTGCATTCAAAAGTTGAATTACAGTTTTTCCCCTTCAAAATCGCACGAAGTTGATTCTCTAGCAATAAGGGTGACTGCTATTTTACGGCATTCATGTAGATTCTTCGCATTCTCGTTCCCAGACCCTACTCATTAGCCAAATCGTAGGCTCTTGGAAACCCGGAAGACCGGAAGCCAGAATCTTATGACCAGGTCGTTAGAGGGTATGCTCTATGTCAGGATCGCTGATTATGAAATACCGGCTCATCTTTTCCAGCTGCTTGACAAATGAAAATAGGATTTTAATTAATATTCGATAACATATAACCGTTCTTGTCGATTTGTCTTACTTATAGTTTCCGTTAGTATGTTTGTTTATCCTGTTGTCCAATCAGAGTTGCTACATAGGTACATTAAAATCTGGGTTTTAAACAAAAATAAGCTCAAGTATAGTTAAGATAAACTGGAACAAAGTTAAGCATTATTATAGAAAATACCAGGCTATGAAGGCATGTTGAAAATTTCAAATTTAAATATGTTATATATTAAAACGTAGAGTCACGACCGTGTTCGTGCCGTGAATTTTTCACGGTCATAGGAAAACTGCAATATGCACACTATATAGGCTCATCTAGCAGGAACATGACCCAAAGACATGTAGCAGCAATAAAATCATATGCACGAGTGGACGTGTAGCGGGGGAGCGATGTAGTCATAGTCGCGTTTTTACATGTTTCAATAAACCATTTTCGAGTTCCAAATTACCGCTGTGTTTCTTGATTACAGACTCATTTACACAGGCTTAGCCTCGATTTTGTACAGAATATTTACGTGTTCCAGTCACGGCCCGTCGAGTTTCCTAAGTGTGCGAATGTTGCAAATATGCTGCTGCTATTCCTCGCTACACGTCCACTTGTGTTTACAGAATATGGTTTTAGTTGCTGCTACTATGTTTCTGGGACATGTTTCTGCTAAATCAACCCCATTTTGCAACAACCTCGAAATTTGCGCGTAGACATTACATTATTATTGTTGTTATTGTTGTTATTATTGTTATCGTTATTGTTGTTGTTATTATT